ACCATCACCCCGACATTTTTACTTGTAACAAAGTTATGATTAAATAAAATGTGCACGAAAGAGCGAAGAGGTCGGACTTTAGTATGTAATTGGATGAAGCCACAGTCACGGGATGGCACCAATCCTTTTGAAAAGTTGACTCAACTATGGCAAAATTGAGTTCTTCAGCCCGCCATTGATCGTAGTTCATACAATATAGTATGTACTGTATACCTATTAGGCTATTACGTCCTATATAACTATTAGTTCCTACATTATTTTGTCATTATACGGACCGCGGAAAAATAATTAATATATTTACGAAAAGTATTTAATTTTGACGAATTTCGTTAATGTTTGAACTCATATAGGTGAGCTTGTAAAAACAAAATGACTATCTATATATTTTTAATATTTATTAATTGTGGTATGGACATTGGACATGTTGCAACTATTTAACTATTATGGGGAACCTAGTTTTCAGTTTTTAATCTTTTTTACTCATAAACAAACATTTTATTATACATAAATTAAAATTAAAAATTCCTCTATTTAATTTAATAATTTATATTTTTTTATACGTTTATTTGTCTAATTAAAAATTTGTTCGTCCCTCTAATAGCTTCAAATCTACAAGCATTTAATATTATTCAAATGCTATAGACACTATACGTTTTTTCCATGTGGTGGAAAAAGGAATCCATCAATTCATTATTTGGCAGAAAAGGGAAAGGTATACTTTTGGCGGAAACGGATAACACCTCTAATGGTTTTTCATATTTTAAATTATTTATTAGTCCAAAATATATTACATATAAATTACTAAAATTAAAATATTCTATAAATATTTACTTAATGAACAAAATATGTATTACTGTTATATTCTCGGTCCATATATAATATTTAATTCTTATCTTTAGGTACTTCCTTGATTATTTATTAAAAATATAAAGAGAGAATATAATATTATAGTAACACAATCTGTTAAACTGACAAACTGTTGGAATAATATGGTACCTAGTAATAATATTTATAGCAAGCTATAACAGTAGAGTTTGGTTCGGTACATACTCATTAGTCATTATTATAGAGGCGAACAATAGGCGTTTAATTATGTGCCGAGTTCAGTATGTAAATGTTCGAACAATATCGAAGGTATTTTTTTTATGTACAGTAAACCTAAATGAAAGAAAATTCTGTTCGTTTTTTTTAAACGCATAGGTACAGAAGTATTTACATGTTTCACTATACCTATTTTAGATTTTGAAATGCAGGTAGGTATGTATTTGGTATTTTGTGTTTTCACGGAAACAGACTTAAAAACCAAAACACTGAACTTTTTATATCTTTTGTTTGGAAATTGAGAAAAGCCTTTAAGTTGTTATGTTCTTTAATTTTAAATTTATAACGAATAATAATGGATTGAAGTAGATACTAAAGTAGATAGTTATTTGAACAAATATTTAAATTATAAAATTAAAAGATACATTTGCATATAGGTACCTAATTAATAGTTATTTTAGATTTTGAATGGAGTTATGAATACGTATTGGTTTTACAATAATTATTTGTGTGCTTTTGTTGTATCTGTCTATCATCACGTTTTGGAACAATAAAAACTTTGTTACTGCTGGGTTAAAATCAAATTTTATTATTTTGTTATAATTCTTCCAAAAAAAACGATCGTCGAATCTTGAAATAGTCCACTTCTTACTTAAGTTATTATTTTCTATACATCATGACACTTTCAAACTATTTAAATTCTTTTTATGTAATTTATAGAAAATAGGAATCTTCTTTTTTCCCATAAATTTTGATAAAATAATTTTTCTCTGTTAGAAAGCTTAAAAATGCAGTAGAAGATTTTCTTAAATTATTCTTACAGTATTCTAAAAGTTCAAAAATATGTACATAATAATGAACTTTTTTTAATGTACATATAAGTTTCAACGTTTGAAATATGTTAAGTCCTTATTTTGACAAACTTGGATATTCAATCGAAATTTGAAATACATCTATGTTTACGTTTATATTCCAATTTTAATTATTATGTTGTAATTCAAACAATTTTCGTTCTTACATTTTTCTATACAGGTCCGTGGAGAGAAAAACTCGGGCTCATGCGTGTAATACCCTGGGGGCCCTTCTATTTTTAAAACCTCTCATTTACTTTGTCAGGTAACTCTTAGGAATTAATTTTTTCCGTTGCGTTTATCAAATTTTTATTTTTAATTGTTTCTTTAGTTTAAAAAATTGAGTAGTCCCAAATTTCCAGGCTCTCTTACAAATGCAGGGAGATTCCCCCCTTTCGTTAGTCCTATGAGTCCTATTGATCTATTATTTGGCTATTTGTACTACGCGCCTATGAACCTATATTTACACCGATCTACCGAGACTATGTGAGCATTTATTTTAGAGTTAATAACAATAATACATGATATAAATATTCTTATGACATAATACGTGTGATGTTTTGGGCAAAAATAAGTACAAATACTACCTTATTAATTAAAGATAAAATAAAAAAAATAAATTATAAAATATCCCTATAAATAATGGCTGACACGTCTATATTCAAATCGTTATTCATATACGACAATTTATCATTGAGTTTAAATTTAATACATCTGTTTATAGTGACCTACTCAATAACGAATTATATGTAAGGTATTCTCAAAACTTTATATACGTCTATGCGTCTATACGTCTGTACAGCAGATCGACTCCCCCATTTTTTTTAATAAATATTAAACACACCTACCGCATGCAGTACCTATATACATAATATTACAATTGTCATAATATAATAATAAATTACATGTTTTTTATCAACTTCCTATTTTATCATACATAGCTAGTGTACCTACATACAAACATACAATTATGTCCCAAATAGGTATTCAGCAGAAATACAATTTAAAGTTTTTATCTCTTAACCTTTTATGTCTAGGTATTTAAAGTATCTTCATATAATAGGTATTAGGTATACCTATTGGATTTTAACATTGTTCTTTCAGTTGAAATCTTTAATTACGTATTATTACTTCAGAGACCAACTTAAAAAAACTAAAAAAATGTCATGATAATGAAGTCGCATACCTTAAGTCAACATAGTTATGTTTCTATATAATATATCAGCGTTTTCTTCGATTTACAGTACAACTATTTTATAATAATTGGCCAACGATATTACATTCCCAAAGAAAAAAAACATACTTCTTGGAAATTCGCTGTCTTCATATCACATATTTTATTAGTCAGCAATTATAGATGGGAGTAAAATCAATTTTTAAAGAACAAAATATATATTGTATAGATTTTAACCGGTTCTTGTTTGAAAACAATATTATTATTAAATATGAATAATAATGTGCCCTTTAATTACTTATAGTTTTTCCTTAGATGTTCGTCTTGTGTATATATGAGTACAATATATTATAATTATACTTTAAGTTTTTTTCATTTTGAACATCTTCCAATAATATATTCTTCCCTAGACACTCTATTTTTAATTTATTTTATTTAACCTCATATTTTTTCAGGCCCATCGAAATTTTATTTTAGTTTTATATTATTATAACATATTTAGGTAGGTGTATATAATATATACACTTCTCTACAGTGTTAGTTCACTGTATTATGAACATAAAACATAATATATGTTCATTTATCACATTCAGTGAACCACAAGTCAGTAAATGTTTACTCGTATTTATGCATTAAATAATAATAATAATAGTATTTTTTTTTAAACAAAATGTAAGTTTACTACATTTAAAAAAAACATTTACTATTTTATACAAGCAGAAATTAAAACTGAATGATTTTTTTTAAACAAGTACCAAATAAAAAAAATGAATTATCAAAATAAAATATAGATTCGTGTTTTTAAGTATTAAAGTTTACCTGAAACAGTTTAAATGTATTCTAAGTCATACAGGCTAATAGGACATTAATTCATTTTTAAACAATATAAAGTAAACAATTAGTGGAAATACGTTTTACGTAAGGATAAGATATTTTATTAAATAATTGATAAACTTAAATACACAATAATTCGAGTAACTACTTATTATACAAAATACTATTATACATGTCATACTATAATATTTCATATTCTGTAGACAAATTATGTTAGTCCTTTTTTTTTGCTTAAACCACTAGATAATGATTAAGCATTTGCATTTTGTTAAGAAAATTACAAAAAATTTTGCAGAGAAAGCTAAAAAATCGTTCTCAGTGTTTACAAAAAAAAAAAAATAATAAAGATAAATTTAAATGTTGTGATTGTTTTATATTTTTGTTCTATTTTCCGACTTTTTAAGATTTTTAGCATATTTCTTTATTTTATTCCAATGTTGTTCATATTTTATTTTATATTATTCAATACCATAATTTGATTTTCATCTTTATCAACTGTGAGTTCATCGAGTTATTCTCGTAATTTTTATTTATTTTAAAATTAATATTGTGTTTTTAAATCGACCTATTTTATATATTTTTTGATGTATTTTTGTCTTTAATTATTATTACAACACATTTTTTTTTAATTCATGAAACCATTAATTTTGTACGCTTAGTTGTCACTGCATATTTTATTTTATTGAAAACGTGCCGATATAATTTGTAAAAAACTTTATCATGATTAAGTGTACATTTAAATATTCCCACTTCACTGACACACTCAACTTTCAACTATCTCGTTTTTTTTTTTTAGATAGTAGGTACAATTTTACATTTCTTATTTAATACATAGCACATAATATCATATTAATATGATCCGTGCCAATGAATATTATTATTATCTATCTGCCTAGCACTTGTTATTTAATGATGCTGAAGTATCTCTGTTCAATTGGTGGCTTAACTAAACAATGGTAGGTAGTCTTGAATGAGTAAATCTCTATTGTGTATAGAATTATGTATAAATATGACGAAGCATATTTCAATTTTTATTACACCGATAACTGTCCACACACGCATAATACGTCCAATAACATGAGTGTCATGTCTTGTTTCAGGTGAATTTTGGAAGTTTAGCCGAGAAATCTGGTCTTCAAGTAGGCGACGCCCTAGTCAGGGTCAATAATCAAGATGTGTATGACGTGAAGCACAAGGATGCCCAAGATGTTATCCTGGGAGCTGGAAACGCTTTTGAAGTGACCATACAACGGTAAGGGAAATGATAATTTTTAATATTCAGTAGGTAAATCCTATATTCTATTGTTGTCGAACTGCGTCGTGTGTGCCGAGAAGTTGATCCATTTTTTTAATCAGAAATAACAACAACAGTCAACAATAGTCACCATCTGCTATAGTATGCGATTTAAAATGAAACGGAATGAAATACATTTTTGATCATAATCTAAAAAAGACATTTTCTAGAGTTTTTAATATAAAACAGAATAAAAACACTATATGTTAACAATAAAATAGGTTAAAAAAGTAAAACCGAAACTATCGTAAGAAATGTGAATAGGTACATGTTGTTTAAATTCATATTTCCATTCACGTTGTAGTAAATAACGTTAAAACAATTGTATATTTGTAAGTAGATTTAGAACTCTATTACAAACTGATGACGTAAATTCAAACAGGTATTAAACAATAATTAATGTATTTACTCGTTGCGTTTAATTGAATTTCAAACTCACAGTTTTTGTACACTTTATGTAAGTAAATATTTTTTTGACACGTATATGGTATAAATAGTATTCAATATTTTCGAATACATTACCACATAAACTAACATATTATCTCTTTGCTAATCATTAGAACATGGATTTAAAGGCAAATAGCATTTTTTTCTGAACAATGCTACCAATCACAAAATTGTTTTGACACTCAAAACATTTGTTTGGCATTTTTTACATTTTTTTTCATATTTTGAGTACAATTTTTTGGTTATTTTTTAATAATTAAGAATAGATGAAACTTGATATATATTAACTATAAATATATTATCTCAGTATCTCACTAAAAAGAAAAACATTTAGTAGGTATTGTTTATTTCGTTTCGTCATATTATTTTTACCCGCTACCTACCTACGTATTATGTTTTTACCTATACGTACTAGACAAAAGCAGTGGCGGTTGTACAAGTTCAGTGGTCTAACGAACAATTTTTTTGTCACGTGCTGGCAGATGTATGATTTATAGATGGATAGTTTTATTTACGGCTTGCGTAAATGGCTCAATTGTCATAACCCAAAATTACATACATTTTTAAATAATACAAATAGATTTATGTTTAATCAGTTTTATTTAGCATTGTATTAAAAACCTTGTTAAGGAATTTTTAATATAATTAGTGTCTTAAATCATATTTTTCGGGGGGACATTTCAATCCTTATTCCTTACTAATCATTTATAAATCAAATATAATCTATCATTTAAATATTGTAATTTAGTATTTAATGTGACGTTGAATTGTATATAATATGTGGTTGGTCTGTGTCCAAATGTATATCTCCGGTAAATATGTTTTGTGAATTCTATTTCTAAAAGGAAGTAATAACATTAATGTTTCTTGTCAAACAATTCCTTTGACATTGCTGAAAATAATATTTTTTTCGGATCACAGCCAAGTTTGGATAAATCACGCGAAAGAAAAAATATTACATGCGTATGAATTATTATACTATTGTATAATATATTATTCGTATTCACGCGGTTAATAATTAGGGGTGACAATACTGACCGTATTTTTTCTTTAGTAAATATTTTTACCAAGTTAAATTTACCTTTTGAGTAATTCAACTTTACTTCTACAAATTTTATTTTCATCGTTTTATATTAAAGGATTGTGTACAGATAAATTATAAGATGTATATGAAAGGATTTTTAGTACACGTGAGATTTTAATTTATTCAATTTTTTATGATGTTCATAATTTTATTTTTATTGAATTATTAAGATATTAAGTACTACTAATTTCAGAAGTTCCTGCATTGCTGTAATTAATTATTTTTATTTTATATTGTTAATCTATTTTAAATATACTTATTTAAATATATAATATTCAGGCAGGGATCCAAAGGAAGGATCTGGGGGGAGGGGCACAATTTTTAAAGTGAAATAAAATAGTAAAATAGCAATATCAGGATCTGCAGAATTATTTAAAAAAATTGGGCAATAATATGTCTGGGTGGCTGAGCCCCTAAGCCCCCCTGAATTCTTCCCTGTTTCTTACAAAAAAACAACTTCCTAAATGTGTTTCAACACGTCCTATACCCATACCTGATATAGGTGGTCAGCCGACTCGAAGCTGCTTTATCACCGAAAAAGTTAAATTGTAATAAAAATGTAATAACTATAATTTATTAGCTCTAGGCTTAGATGACCCGTTGTCAGTATTACTTATTCTAATATAATAAACTTACTTCTATTTTAGTGGTGGAACCAGTACATGGAAACCTTCAGTTACACCTGTTGGACCAAGTCCAGTGCCGAGTCGTCTGTCCCAATCTCCACAAATACTGACAAAAACGTCGTTGGCCAAAGTTGGACCACAATCTCCTGCATTTGGGTCTTCGCACAATTCTGTTTCACGGCCATACAGTGGAACTTCATCGCCTAAAGTAAATACACAATTAATTTACAGCCATAGGTGTATTTTCACTAAGGAAATGTTCGTAGGTTAATCCGAGTGGACACCATAATGATTCTGGAACTGTTAAAGCTATTGTAAATAAACAGTACAACACACCAGTCGGTATTTACAGCGAGGAGAACATTGCCGAGACGCTTACAGCTCAAGCGGAAGTACTAGCTGGAGGAGTATTAGGGTTAGTGGACGTTTCACACACTTTATTAATGCATAATAATTTGAGTTAAAAACAATTACAGAGTCAATTTTAAGAAAAACGAAAAGAATTACGAAGCTAATAATAGCGAAGTGTTTAGAATGGTACAAGAAGCTGATAAAGAACCGAGGGATTTAAATACAGGTAAAATATCAAAGCAATTTTATGACGTAACCGCTGATAAATAGAGATATAAAAAGAAAATTTCTTTATCGTATAATTTTCTCCATGACGTTCAAAATGTTCTATACGCAGAAGTTAATCATCAACACGTTGTTATCGATACGATGAACAAAAATGCAACGCGGCATGTGTCCGCACCTGAACCAAAAGCACCACAAAGCGCTCCCAATCAAAATATTTGCGCCGATTGTGAGAGACTAATAGTGTAAGTTATGTGAAATGTTGTGTATTGTGCTTGGTGCTTCTGGTGACGCTTTGAAAAAGATAATGTGGTAGGGAGGCATTTGATGTTGAAAACTTATTTAGTATATTGTACTTGCTATCACGTATTTAGAATATAAGTCTGCAATTTCTGATTTTAACGCTTCGGAAACTAGAGGTTATAAGAAATTTATTTTATTTTGAAACAATAGACCTACAATCGAAATTCGCATATTTCTCGGCTTCGAGCCATGCGATAGGGGGCCGTGCTACGTCACCACGCCCTATGACACCTATAGCAGCAAATATGCACATGCCCGAACAACGGGATCCATATTTGGGTTCTCCTTTGAAAGAAGTGGACATGGATAATGATAAACGTATTGAGTGCAGCGACTGCAGAAACGATGTTATGTAAGATTTGATGGATTTTCCTTGGTCATCATCTATAAACCTATCCCGAAACCACTTTTAGCAAATTAACACGCGTGGCACTAATACATTTTGTGTCTGTTATAATATTAAATTGTATTATGTAAACAATAAAAGTTTAACTTTTATACAGCGGTGTGTTCGTACGCATCAAAGATAAAAGTTTGCACGTTGAGTGCTTTAAATGCGCCACTTGTGGATCGTCTCTGAAAAATGTGGGCTATTTCAATATCAACAACAAATTGTATTGCGACATTCACGCCAAAATGGTTGCCAGACAAAATCCACCGACACCAAATTTGGAACCAGTTACCGTAGCACCGTAAGTCATGACTTATAATATATAATGGTAATGTAGTCGTAATGTATATTAGTGCTCAACATTTTTAATTCCAAAAAATAAAAAAATAATGGTCTTTCAAGTATAAAATTAACTTGATTTGGGTATAATTACAAATCCGAGGAAATAAAAATAAAAATTGACTATAATAATAACGAATTGTAGAAATTCCACTGAAGATTGAACTACTATACATTTTAAAAATTCAATGTAAAAAAATTTGTTAATTTTTAACATTTTTTAAGACTACAGAAAAAATGCAAATTAAGATCAAGATATTTTCAAAAATATTTTTGAGTTAATTCTGAATTAAAACTAGGTACACTTAATACTTGTTAGTTGTTTTGTTGGTGGGTAAATTGTTCAATGAATAATTTTAATATAAATTAAATAATGAATACGCATTTTTATTGACCTAATGAATTATCTTTTTAATTGATTTTTTTTAGATTTTTATGAAATAATCAATTAGATGTTGTAGTTTTATATATTCATTGCATTTAACATATTGTGTTTTGCCGTTGATATAAATATTATTAATACTTCTAATCAATGGTTTTACATTTATACGTAATTAAACTATTATTACTTAAAATAGTAATATAAATTATAATTCAAATTATGTAAGTTCTCGACTAATCAAATAAAACCCAAAAAAATATTATTTATAGGCATATATTCACCATTTTTGAGACATTGGTTATAAATTGTTATTGTTAGTTATTTTTTACCGGTTTTGTTTTTTTAACAGCGGCTCAAATCCACCTTTAGGATCGTTCAATATAATACCAACTAAGCCGAAGGACGTACAATCCGTGCAATCACCACAACCAAGTGCCTTATCGCCAATACCATTCCACGTAAGTTAAATTTTTGTAATTCATATAAATGCATATTTTTATTACAAAAGCTAAACACAAATTTATTATAATTTAAAAATAGATCACCACTTATGTCTGATAGTAATGCATTTATTTTATTTAAACATTTTAAACTTGTATCTATTATTTTATGTAGTATTTTAGTATTTTACTATACATAAATAGTTAAAACTTAAATTATACTTCTAACTAAAAATTATTTAGACAAATACATTATTCTTGGCGTCTACTTAACATTTGAAGTGACTAGACTAGACTATTATGTTTATTAAATTCAATGTATATATAATAGAATATTTAAAACACTAAAACACAATTTTTTACAATATTGAAATATTTAACATATTATGTAATATTATACATTTCTTGTATATTGAAGTTTTTTATTTTATGAAAAATATTTTTACTATACAGGCTCCAAAAGCTCCTAGTCACGTAAACGCCCCCAAACAGCAGGTAGATCAACACTATAATATCTAATGTGGACAATTTCAAACTAACCGTTTTAATCATAAATCGAGTGGAAGTGATTATTAAAACGTATTTTTGTTTGTATTTATATAACAAAACAAGGAAACTTTTTAAATTTATAATTTTTATAGTTAGTTAACAGTTATTATTTGGTTGGATGAAAATGTTTTTAATTATTGCTGTTGCTTGATATTTAAGTACACCATACCTATGATATAGTTGTCATTAGTGAACATTGTCGTAGTCACTAGTCATGTTAAGTCCATGGTAGTGGCACAATTAAAAATTGCAATAATTATATTACAAATGAAAAGAAAAACTTTTGGTATACATTTGTAATAAACATAACATACCAACACAAAAAATATTGCTGTACAAATTCTGGAGAACAGTTATGTATGTTTACAGGTTGCACAATTGCACCACCGCAAAGTACCTAGGTATACAAAATAAATTGTGTTACCAAGCTTTGACTTAACAGTTTACACTTAAAATTATTTCTAAAAAGTATCACAGTATTTCATCTGCAGTATGACACCGTCTGAAGAATATTTAGTATTTGTGTACTGTACCTACTATTGATATAGATTGTTAAAATGTTAAAACACGCTGTAACTTTGTGTTATTAATGCTTTACAAAATGCAACATTTTTCAACAATGTTTTATTGCACACAAATACACAATATTTTTTTCTCGTTATTGACAACGAAATAAACTTTTTTAAATAAATTATTTTCCAGACTCCGTCGAAAGTTTTTTCGAATGCTAAACCATACGAAGCACCAAAACAAACACCAACTCCTCCGATGTTCTCTGGCGGATACAACCAAATTCAGACCGGTAAGTTGTTAACTTTTTCATTATATGCTAAACTTGTACTAAAACCATATTATTTAGAACCACCGTTTATATGCATATGTGTTACAAGTAAAATATAGAATATTTTAAGTCTTAGGAGGATTAAATAATAATTGAAACAATAGAAGTACTTACAATTAGTAGGATAGGTATGTTTATTGTAGTGGAAAGTTGTCACAACTGTATCCAAGAAATATAGTTTAAACTTTAAAGTCACAGATATATAAAATGAATTAGATTGCTAACTGATAATACGTGAAGCTACCATGTGCCATTTAAAAAGAGGCCAATGGGGTCTTATCACACCCCATCAATGTTGATAATGAACAGATAATTTTTAAAATTACGAATTATTTAATGTTATCTCATAAACGCCAGTGATAATGAACATTGGGCCTCGATTAAAATGGAGGTCAATAGCTTCAACCAATATTACACAAGCGCTGTATCGCAGTTAGCAATCTAGTTTATTCTATATATCTGTGTTTAAAGTCCTTTGATATTTTTATTAAATAATCTTAAGATACTGTCTTGGTAATATTCAAATATTTTTATTTAGAAATTCCTAATAAGATAGTGGAGATTTCAAGAAATATATTTTTTTAAATCTTAAAATAAAATAGGTGTACAAAATAAATATTTTATTTTACTTAAAAATGTACAAAATTATGTGGTGTTTAAATTTTACCAAGAGTAAAATTAGAAATATATCATAGTTTTATTTCTGATAGTGAAAATAATGGTGTTACACACGACCAATTGTACCTATAATTATTTATTTTGTAGGCTTCAACTCTCAATTGAAAACAAAATCTATTACTTCAGGTAAAAATACCATTAGTTCTAATTATAGCTTTTGATGCGCAAAGAAGTAATAGGTGTAAAAACCATTCCATAATTTATATTTGATTTTAAAACATATTTAGCATTTACATCTACATTAGTTTGGTTCAAAAGTAGCTGGTACTTAACGTCTTAATCCATTTAAACTAACTGAATGATTTTTATGGGTGATTAATGATTATGGAATCGGTTCTTTTACTGTAGTTAATATAATTATTATATTCTGACTGTGTTAAATTGAAACAAAAGATATTGTATAAGTAAAATTTAATGAAATCAAATGGTATTAATAACTTTATAACTTTTCAAAATAAGCAAAAACGGTTTTTATGTACTTAAAAAAAACATAGTTTTTAATAATAATAAATTTAAAACACTAATTATTGTTTATCATAACTCATAAAATATAATACAGGTCATATTATTTTAAATTTTTCAGACATAAAAACATTCAACTCCAAACCTCGCCCTTTCTCAGTTGCATTCACTTCTTAGATATCTGTACAAATATTCTAAGCTTCTGTTTGGTTTTGACGATTTTAAAAGCTTATTTTTTTTTTAATCAACCGTTTTTGTTTGAATTAAATAATTTTATAAAATATTGAGTCAGAACATAAAATTTATAAATATCTTATTACGATAAGTCACTAAAATATTAGTAATAGAATACTTATACTAATAAATATGGTCCTTTTAATTCGAAGTAGGTTATAGATACCATCGAATACCTACATGCTTATAATTTTATAAATATGTTTTATTTTGAAACTGAAAGCGTTTTAATCAATTTTTATTTTCATTGGTGTTCCGCCTTAATTTGCTAACTTCAGATGAACCTAAATACAAAACTAACTCTTTACCAAGATTACCCTTCCTAAAACCAAAACTATTGATCGGTTCTGCTTTTTGTCCTGTGGTATCTAAGACAGTGTCATATGATTCTGGAAAACGCGCATCTATTTGTTCTCAAGAAGTGTGCCGTACAATGACTGAATTAAAACATTCATTAAATGACTCTATTGCAGATCAATTACTTATAGAATCTACTAAAAAAGGGAGACCCCATTCACCTGTTCCTGATGATAAAGGTCAAGATTTTACTTCTGCTGAGACACCACATGAAGTAAAATCTTTAATGTCACAAAATAATAATGTTAGAGGAATTTCACCAAATCAATTAATCACTTTTCCTCCTGAAATGCCATCTCAATATCGTACATACTCTAAGCCTCATACACCAGAGCCCAAAAATAAAACCATTGTTATGGACGGACCGGTAACGACGACAGCTTTTAAAAAGAAATCTCAACCAGAAAATATTTCTCGATATCCAGATGAATATTCTGAACATGCAGAACTGAACTGCTTACCTAAATTTCGTGGTTTAAAGGGGCCAATTAGCATTGCAATGGAAGTAGCTCCTGATCGGCCATTTACTCCAGTTGCCTTTACTGAACCGATAATTAAACCAGCACCTTGGATATCTTTACCTACAGAAAATGAAAATAGACCAGAATCTCCATTAGTAGTTGCACTGCAAACAGCCCCCGAAAGAAGTTACTCACCTCTTCCAACTTTTATGTATGCTTCTGATGTCTTACCACCACCAATAGTAGATCCCGCTAATGAAGTTAATAAAACAGTTTCAAATTTCCAAGATATTAATGTTGGATCATCTAATACAAAAAATTCAACAAGGCCTATCGGGAACAATCCTGTTAGATACATGCACGGATATAATAATAAAACGTCTGAAATATTGTTACAAATTAATAAAGAGTTACCTCAACAAATTCAAAATATAAATTCACAAAAAGGACCAATAACAAGTTTAGGATTGATATCATCTCAATTTTCTTCTGATAAATTGTCTGGCCCCTACGCACCAATAGAAAGTAAATCTAATTACAATGAGACATTTATTACTCGTGTGCCTAATTTTGAAGAACAAAAACAATTTTTTAATGAGTACAAATGTACTACTTCAAATCAAAATATGCCATTGAGCCATTCACAATACCAACAAAACATAACAAAACCAACACAATCATCAGCTTCCAATAACTTATCAACATCTAATAGGTCTATGGGACCCGGGATTAAAAATAAAGTGTCGACTTTTACACCAAATACTTTAATAAATGACACTTCATTTTTAAATCAATCGTCAAATAGTCATTATAAAGTTGTACCAAATATTGACAACAAGTCCGCTTCAACTGTGGATAGTTCCTTTAAGTATAAAAGTAACCATCCAAGTACTATTAAATTGTGTAAAGCTATTCCGTTTTTCTCTAATAACACGTCTTCTCCTTCAGCGCCTTCATTCCCTCGGACGCCGTAGAATGTCACTACAATTCATAAATATTATATTACACCAGTTTTTGACCGCATTTAAATATTTAATTATCTAATGTTTAACAGTTTTACTATCAAACATTTCTATATTTTTTTAAAGATTTAAAACTTTCAATAATTATTGTTAGTAGTGCCTATTTAAAATATTTAATTCAATAAATTAATTTGCAAAAAAAAGAGAATGAGAAAAATTTAATGTAGACATTTATGTAGTCACTATAGTAGGTGTTTAGTCTAAAAAGGTTTCCTAATTAAAATTATAATAATTTGTTCAGTACACTTTTTATTGTTTATAATTTATATTGGATAAAAAATTAATTGAAATGTTTATTTTGGTTTTTACCTTAAAATACTAACCTTAGATGAGTCTAAAAATTCTGTTAACTCCCAACCAAGATTACCTTTCTTAAAACCCAAATCTTCGACTGGTTCTGCATTTTGTCCTGTGGTTTCTAAACCATTAATTACTGACTCAAGTATGTGTCCTACATCGTGTGTCAAGGATGTAAGTCGTACACTAAACCAATGCAGACAATCGTTAAGTGCTTCGATATCCACGCAAATGTTGATAGAGTCATCTAAAGAAGAACAGTCTCAATCACCAATTCCAAATAACTATAATATAGAAACTTCTACTGTAGAAGTTCCTCATGAAATTCGGTCGCTATTGCCACCAAATAATAATGTCAGGTCCATTTCACCTACTCATTTGGTAATATTTCCCCCAGAAATCCCACAGGAGTATAGAAATTACAGTAGGTCGAAAACCTCTACACCACAACCAAAGCATGAAATTAATGAAGAAACCGAATCACGCGGTTTAATTAATTCTACCATTGATCAAGTGGAAAGCACAATTTCTCGATCTACTGTTGAATGTTTAGAAGTTGTAGAATCTAAATTTGTTCAAAACGTTGAATCAAATTATGTTCAAAATGTTGAATCAAATTATGTTCAAAATGTTGACGAACATTGTAGTTTAAAACCCAAAATACTTGACATCGTACAAGATCAACCGATTTCTCATATAACTGTTACTGAACCTAAAGTTAAATCGAAACAATCGTTGGTTGTAACTGAAGAAAATAGATCAGAATCACCTATGCTCGCCGCACTTAAAACTGCTCCCGAGAGAAGTTATTCTCCACTCCCTACCTTTGTGGACGCTTCAGAATTTATTACAAAGCCAATAGAAAATCCCGCAGAAGAAGAAAAACCAATGACCATGACAGAAGCGTTAGCAATAGCTCCCGATCGTAGTTATAAATTAACCGAATCAATTACATCGTCAAGACAAGTAGGGAATAACCCGGTTCGATATATGCATGGGTACAATAAAAAAACCCCTGTGGCTCCTTTACTAATGACAAGGTCGTTAATATATTCACCTGCATCAGCTGTTGATTCAGAGGAAGAACAAATAGCTATTTTAGGATTGAAATCTTTCCCTCCCGTATCGGACGATCTAAAATGGTCCACAGCAGCAGGGGATTTCGACCGCACTGAATCTAGTTTTGAATATGTAGAAGAATTAGTTTTTGATGAACCCAAACTTGAAGAGCCAAAAGAAGTAATAAATGAAGAAATCGATGAGGTATCAGAACCATCGAAGCCTTTACCGAGACATCCGTTCACCGCTTCGGGTCTCCATGAGCCATTTGATATACCACGCTATCAACAAAGTATACCAGAAAATCCTCATCGAGCTACCCCCTCTGAAAAATCTAATGCAAAATTAATAGGTCCAGGAATTCAAGAAAAAGTGTCTACATTTACACCAAAGGCATCTATAAAAAATACTTCGTTTTTAAAACAAGAAACTCACATAAATTCTAAAGTTGCTCCTGCCTTAGGTTATGAGCCATCATCTTTAGATGGAGGATCAAACAAATCTAAAAACGTTGATCCCAATGTCACGAAATCGAGCAGTTCTGAACCCGGTTCGTCTAATAGCACGTCTGTCGTTGCCACTCCAAAATCCACTCCTTTACCCAAACCTTTTAAAGAGTCTATTCCATTAACACCAAAAATTTCCATTACTAGCGAAAACCCCGCAGAACCGGTCGCTCCTATGCCTAAATCATCATTACCTGCTGCATTGTTATCTAAAAAATTAACATGTCTTACAAAAAAACAACAACCTAAATGTGTTCCAACACCTATACCCATACCCGATATAGGTGGTCAGCCGACGGGAAGAGCTGGTGCCTCAGCTGGTCTTACAGCACCCAGAAGGGGTCGTGGAGTGCTGAACCCACAAAATTTAACCCCCGGTGCTAGGGTGCCGTTGTGTGGACAGTGCAATTTGTACATAAGGTAAATAATACTGTGATCTAGGGTATTTGTTTGTTTGTGTGCAATAGTTAGTACTTACAGTTTTATTTATTATCAACTGGTCAAGGTAAGAAAAACAGTAGATATTAGTGTTAGAAAACTCAGCACTGGTTTTGTTTTGTTTTGTTTTGTTTAACATTGTTTTGGTTTTTATAACTTATCGTAATTGTTATTTGTTTGCTTCTCACGGTTTTTAATAATCTCCCAGGACTCGAAAAAATTACAATTACAGAAGACATCGATAGCAATGCACCAAAGATCATTAAAAACCCCGAATGTAATTGTTGTCAAACCCAAATCACAAGGTTTGTTAGCTTTTTGCTTTGGTTTTTTTTTTTTGTTTGTTTTTGCCCTAATACTGACGTTTATGATTGCACTTTTATTTAATATTTTATCACTTAAACAGAGGACCATTTATTACCGCTCTCGGCAAGATTTGGTGTCCGGAACATTTCGTGTGTACAAATGAAAAGTGCAGACGTCCATTACAGGACATTGGTTTTGTGGAGGAAGACAACGGCTTATATTGCGAATACTGTTTCGAGCAATATCTCGCTCCAGTGTGTTCCAAGTGCTCCAAGAAAATCAAAGGGGTAATAGATTGATCTGTTCATCGAATTTTCTTTAACGGATAATTTAGCATCTTATTGTTATGTAATCATAGGATTGCTTGAATGCCATTGGAAAACAATTCCACCCAGAATGTTTCAACTGTACATACTGCGGCAAACTTTTCGGTAACAGCCCGTTCTTTTTGGAAGATAGTCTTCCATATTGTGAAAATGGTGAGTTATTATTTCGATGAAAAATTAAATATAATATGTGCACATGCCACATTGTAATAGGTAATAGAAATATAACTACTATTTACTACCTATATTGCAGATTGGAATGAATTGTTCACGACTAAGTGCATAGCTTGTGGTTTTCCGATTGAGGCTGGTGACCGTTGGGTTGAAGCTTTAAATAGCAATTATCATAGTCCGTGCTTCAATTGCTCGGTAAGTATATATTTATCATTCTTATTTCCCGTTAAGAGGACGTAACACTGGTATTTGTTGTCATTCTTACAAATGCGTAATATATCAAATTTACTCTCAGTGAATCACGTGTAGCTTCTTTAAAGTTCAAAAATTAGAGCGAATCGACCTATTATGAAATATGATGGCAAGAACATTATCCGTGTTTACATGTGGGTTTTTTACGATGGTTAATTTTTTTAGCAAGTCTTGCGTGTACAGCATAGCATGAATTTAAAAATGCTTATATAACTCACTTAAATACTGTATTATTGTAGAAAAACCCACATACAAACACAGATAATGTTGTTATCAGTTTTATAAGAAGCCGATTCACTCTAATTTGTACACTAACGAATAACTAACGTGATTTGCTGAGCGTACATTTTGCTGTGTTAACTTGCTTGTAAGACGAAGACAACAAATGAGTGTTCCGTTCTCTTAATCATAATTTATGTGATTATCACAATTTATTTATATTTGATGTTGAAAATGTTTATAATTATTTATAGAAATGTAAGATAAATTTGGAAGGCCAGAGTTTCTATGCGAAAGGAGGAAGGCCTTATTGCAAAAGCCACGCACGCTAATATCGAATATATACATCAATTGACCATTGTGAATAATTATTGATAACTTACCAAACAATTTTTATTGACGTATACAACCATTACATTTTAAACCATTTATTTATTTTCTAGTTTAGTTTTAGCTTGAATAATCCATACATTTTTAGACTTAGACAATGCTTATTTTAAATCTATTAACAAAATTGTACCAAAAATTTGTTTATGCATAAATTTAATCATTTATTTATTAATTATTACTTATTAGTTATTATGTAGATACCAATAAATCTGTATTTAGGTAAACACATTACAATTCAAAGTTATATAACATTTTTTTTTAGAATAACATATCAAGCGACATACATATAGTTTTGGTAGGTACTCAGTACTTACCTATTACCAGCTAATAACCTTATATTTTGTAATCCAGTAGGTTATTTAATGTAAATCGAATATTTCTTTATTTGTCAAAAATGTTTTGTTGTAGGTAATGTCGTAATGAATTTAATTAAACTACGGTATTATATTTTTGAGCCATTTAAGTATACCGACAAAACTGTATGCAGTCTATATATAGCTTGTTATGTGTGTTACCCTTACCTAATGAATTATTTAAATAATAATTGTAATATTTTTATTTGGCTTTTACCTAAACAAAATACATGTTACCCATCTTCAATATTATATATTATAAATAGCTCCTAGGTATCTACCTATTTAATTATTTTGTCGTAATAATTGATTTACCTACTAAAGTTCTTCAAGGTTAACTAGAATTTTTTCACCAGTCAAAAACGTGTTCTAACTTAAACAAATTGTCAAGTGTCCAGAACCCAATGACCCCCCTCCTCCAAAAATGCCTAGATCTCTTGGATTAATCTATTAAATATACTGTTAACAAAGTCTAACGAACAAAGAGCCAAAAAGGTACCTGCCTACAAATGTATTAGTTTCTTTATAGAGTAATATTGAGATATTTAGTGATCAATTTCATCTCGGTATTCAACATTAGAAGGTAGGTAAGTACCCAGCTGTTTTGAGCGTTGTCTGCATTCTGCATGCTTCAACTTTAAAAAGCACTCTACGCAACACACAATTAAATAAATAATAAATTAATTTGCTGATATAATCATTAAATAAAAGTAAACAAATTACATTATTAGATTGGGAATTTGAATCGTAAATTCTATGTATGGTAAACTGCAACACAAGTATTAACAGCAGAGAACAGGAACGTGTTAAATTCATATTATAGAGATGCTGCATAAGTTTATCCGCCGATTCTGAATTATACAGTAATATTATTAATAGATCGACCAGACATAACATTTCCTTTTTTGTTTAGTCATAAAAAATATCATACCTAAATAATCTGAATACTTCACAGTGACTCAATAATTGAAGTATTATTGTACGGAAACCATTAAATGATTTACGAAACGACTTAACGTCGTATTTTATTAAAAGCAGAGTAAGTACCAATAACCTATGCACCTATCAGCTGTCGCGTGGTGGCCAGAACTCTGCAGGACGCAACTACAAATTGTATTATGATATTTATAAATAAATATACTTGGGTACCGAACTTAAGTTTTTTTCTTTTATTATTTTTAAAATGTTTCAGCTGACCAGCTCTTACCCCTGAGGTAACTCTATACGGTGCTCCAATCCCATCCTCTCCTTCAGTTAAATACCTTGGTCTTACTTTAGATAAACGATTAACTTGGGCCCACCATATTAGGGAAAAAAGACTATCACTGAACAACAAATTTCGTATTCTCAAACCTCTAGTCTCTAATAAACACATCTCCCTTCATGTCAAACTCCTCATCTACAAAACACTACTGAAACCAATCTGGACGTACGGGATACAGCTATGGGGAAGTGCAAAAAAGACAAATTTAAATAAAATTCAATGTTTTCAAAACATTGCGATAAGAAAGTTGATAAATGCTCCCCCATACATATCTAACCATACTCTCCATACAGACTTAAAACTAAAAACTATCCACGAGGAAGCCAAACACTTTTATAAAAGATTCCACAACCGTCTTTCCTCCCATTCAAATCCTTTAATTAAAAACCTTTCCTCCCTCTCAATCCCCGGCAATCCTCCTAGGCGATTAAAACGTAAATGGTGCAGAGACCTGTTACAAATTTTAATTTAGAAATTTAAAAAAAAAAAAAAATTAATAAATTAAAAAATCAACATTAAAGTGTCATCATTGGGTGGCTTCTTTATTCACTTTTTGTTTTTGTATACTCATGTTTTTTGTACCTTTATCATATATACTTATTGTGTCATATTGATATAGATCGTATATTTCGACTTTAAAATAAAAAAAAAAAAAAAAAAAAATGTTTCAGCACATTAGGTGCTATTACAAGTACGAACTTATGTTTTAAATATTTGGTATCGTCTAATTAAATTGTATAATCAAAAAATTTTAAAAGTGTTAATTTTTACTATTTCGATAATCTTATTAACACTTGTCGTGCAAATATTAACATGCACCATATTAATTATTAGATTAAATTACGACAATGAATAAGTGTGAGGTGTGAATGTTTTACATTAGATATAAATAAATAAAAAAACAAACAAAATTACTTAACTTTTAGATATTTTGAGATCTAAATACCTATTATCATTAAGTTAACAATTTATACATTACAATTATATATATATATATATATATTATACATATTAAATATATTATATATAAATTATAGTTGATGATATGTGTCTTAAAACCTAATAATATAGTTATAATAGTTATAACTTATTATTTATAGTAAGTAATAACTACTAACTTAACTAAATATTCCAGTCAACATTCAACATAAAGTCATTGCATTATAAGTTTATACTTCATTTGGTCCTGTTAAGTAGGAGGGTAAGTATGTAGCAGTACGATGCAGTGACTACATATGTACTGATATGTACCTACATCGTGGTATGTAGTAATTTAAAAAGAACCTATGATAACATTTTTCACAATAGCAATAATTTTACTCAACCTTATCTCATCTTGAAATAAGAATTTTTATGTTATTAGTATGGTTGTCAAATGATACACTATACAGGTACCTATAGAGCCTAGATGTATAAGTAGGTATAACCTTTGTATTCCGCTCTGGATCAATGGTAAAAGACCTAACCTGTGTACAAAAAAAATGAAGTTGAAAATTGAAATATATTTAAATGCCCGATAGATTGTTGAGTTTTTATAACAACTAGGTACCTATTACACTGTAATAAAAAATAAACATATTTAATACACTCATATAAAATTGTGACATCAACAATCATATTGTCCTCTTGGTGACATTGTCAAGCTTAACTATCATTATCGTAAACTATCATAGTATCATGATATTAGCAGTCACAACTAAGATTGAAACTATCACGGTTTATTATCCTTTGTGTACCTGGCTTTAGCTTGAGTATAGCTGTACAATATCAAATTTGTATATTGTCACTAAGTATTGTAAAATAAATTTTCTTAAAAAAGACCATGAGAATATGAGATCTGATCCCCCCTCCCTTGTGGGCTCTTTGGTCATTATCTAGTTGTTCTGATAACTGTATGGGTTTAAATTATCAAATTTAAAATTATAATAATAAATAAGAGAAAAAATGTTTATTATTTTGAATTTTAGAGTATATTTAATACTTAGTAAGAAAATGTATTGAAGATGATAAAAAAAATTTTTCCTTCATTTTTTGTCATTTTTAATAACTATTTAGAAAAGAACTTTTAATTTTCAATTTCATCCATCAAAAGTACTATTAGATACAACTAGATCCAATTTTTTTAGCAGAAATCATTCCCAATGTTGAAGATCAAAGAATTTTGTCTACTATAAAACGCTGTGTACACGTACATAAAAAAAACATATAATTGTAAAATTGCAATACTCATTGATCGCTCCCAGGGCCGTATTTACAATTTTTGCGCCCTGGGTCAATTTTACGCCCCCTCCCCTACCAAAAAATAGATACACTTTTTTATTTTTTTCTTAACACATTTTTAGTTATAATTCTTTATGGTTAAGTCATGGTTGTCTATTTACAATCCTGGTTATGTTAAAATAATATTAAATATATTCTATGCTAGTACTTATCCGTTATCGCTGCACTGCGAAATTCACAAGGGTCTACAAATTCTTCCCAAAAAAAAAAAAAATATTTATTTATACAACACTACAACGGGTTACAGCCGTGCCCGGCCGCCTCCTAAATAGATCAATATTTGACCGCCCAGTGCAAATGTCCCCATTGCACCCTCCTAAATACGGCCCTGATCGCTCTGATCAGAATCAAAAAGACTTCACCTATAAAAGTATAAAATGAGTACAATAACTTTATATATATAATTCTACTGTATGTGTGAACGTCACTGAACTCCTCCTAAATGGCTGGACCGATTTGAATAAATTTTTTTAAAAGTGTTTGGGTGACGCCCTAAATGGTTAAGATTCGGTTAGAATTCGTTAAGATCAGGTACAAGCATGCATACAATTTAATTTTCGCACATTGCCTACTAAGGTGGTTGAGTTGCACTTATAGCCGCTCATCGGTGTGTCCGCAATCAAAATCAAAATAAAACATGTACTCATCAAGCGGGGTCCGCAATCCACAGCAGGTAGGCATAATATACTGCTCGAATTATCACCATCAAGTCTCATATAGAGTTGGAATTTTTAAAGGGCAACAAAGTTCATGGGATAAGCTAGTTATATAATATAAATCAATATATATAAATTCTCATTAAAACTTGAAACATTAGAATAGTAGCCTCGACGTAAGTAAATATAGTTTTTAGTTAGTACATAAAAAATAATAATAATAATAATAATAATAAGTGTTTGGAAAAATAAACGGGAAATAGTCAAAATCTAGCTGATGCTGGCCGATTAATTATACAATATGGAGGAATATATGTTTGATTTAAAATTTTCAAAATGTTATTAACGGACAGATACATGATATAAAAAGTAAGATACTTTTATACTTATTGTTCCCTAATAATACCTTTAATATTTTATATGTTTATGGGTTCTCAAATTGAAAAACTATAATTAGTATTTTATCTACAATTACATGCCTATATTACAGGTGCTTATTTTTTATTTTTATTATTCTTAGAATTTCCCATAATAATGTAATTATTTATTTATTCTTTCATTAATTACTTCAGAATAGAGAACTTTTTCAATCAAGAATTCTAATTTAAATTAATAATTTTTAAATCTTGTTAAAATAAGTATCAGAAAAATATTCTAATTAGCATAAAAAGCAAATTTTAATTTATACATAAAAATACATTATTAAACAATAAGATCTGTTTTTTTTGTGGTCTTAATTTTCACAGTTCTAATATAAGATTATCCTTTATTTTCTTTTTAGAACGATCTTTTGATCTGACTACAAAATGTTTACCATAGAGCTGAATGATATATCCTTCAAGTTCTAATTCAAAAATACACTGTTCTTTGGGTACAGCTGCAAAAACAAATATAAATTCAATTGATTTAATATATCATAATAATATAATCATAATTTTTAATACAAGAAACTCACTCTTTAGTTTATTATCAATTCCTATGATTTGGAAAGTATTTTTTGTTTCAAGAATTATAACACCAGACACTAAAATATATGAACAACATTTGGAACTGACCACTTTAATGTGAGCACCATGAAAATCACACTTGTACAGTGAAGTCATAAATTGTTCCCAATGTTTACATCCTGGAGTACCATCCCATCTGTAAAATCATAGAATTTATAAATAAAAATGATAATATATGAAAATATAGGACTATATAATATTGTCTTACCCTCTTTTGCGGAGATCATCAAAATTAACAATTTTTTTCATGTATGACATCCACAGCTCATTCAACTTCATTGCATCAGCATATGATAAAACATTTTTTGGTGGATGATTTAATCCTAGTATTCGTTTTAACTGATTTTTCGGTTTAGATTTATCTACAGGTTTTGGTGTTTTCTTGTGTGTATAATTACCCAACCAATATATCTAGAAAATATATCTTTAATAATAATCATTATTCATTTGAAATATTATATTGCACTTACCTTTTTGAGTCCGGAATCTATTTCTTTATTAGTTACTTTCAATGGCAACAATTGACGTGCTAACTGATTAACAGTTAATAGATTGTCTACTTTTGAGACCCCAGAAGACTCAAATGCCGTTTGTGACAATGGAGTGTATAAAATGTTAGCTATGAATACACAGATTATTACATGATTTGTTCATAGATAATAATGATTTAATAAAATACATTTCAAATTTACTTACACATGTTTGATATTAGTCCAATTCAATTGCGATATGCACTCGTACCTGAAATAATTTTTTATCGATTTTTGTTTAAACTAATTGAAACGTATGAGGTATTTTTCTATTTTTCTAGCATAATACTGTAATATTTAATTGTAGAATCAAGAAAAAATAATCTTGTGATCTATACTAAAGCTTGGCATTAATATAAAATATTAGGTTTATTAATTAAACAACAAATTCTGTCAGCAAAATATCTGCATCTATATTGAACGCATACAAACTATGGCAAAGAATTATTAATTAATGTTAATAGCTACCTATTGAAATCTTTAGAAGTATATCAATTTTGTATGAAGCAATGAAGAACATTACTTATTAGTTATTTGTTATTAGTACACTTTTAAATTTATAATTAAAAACAATTTTATTGTTATAACAAAACTAATTTCAATATCTAAGAGAGTACTAAACATAGTGTTTAGTTCTGACTGTACGAATAATACTCAAAATTTAAACAATTAACAATGAATCCCATTTCCAGAATGATCTGTTATTTTATCGGGGCAAGTATTTTGTTTCGCTGGACAGTAGGTGTTTCTACTTGTTTGCATGCATACGACTGAACAAGTCTTACACCAACAACTCAAATAAGGAGTAAGGACCGATCACCAATCTTAATATTATTATCTATTAAAACGCAATTCTGAGGAAAAACTGTTAATGTTTTGACCACGAACCGACGACGTAAGGTACCTGCCTGTGGACTGCGTCGACTAAATTCGTCTTCAAACAATCAAATGTGACAGAAGCTGAACAGAAGTGGATTCGGCCGATTAAAGACCCCCAGACGAAGCCATTGTCACTTGTCAGAGCACTCTCGCTATGATAAGACTATAAGAGTGCACTCTGTGCAACGGACGGGACGGGGGGCGCATGAGACCGCGAGCGAATTGGAACGAAACTGTTCGAGTAGGACGTTTAGGTAATAAACGTTATTATTGCTGTCGGCCGGTTGCCGTCGACGCGTAGCCGTTTGCGGAACGTGGCCGGTGATAAGAACGTTGCACACCGGTGATAAGCACGTGCACTTCGCTGCGCTTTGGTCGTGGGCAAATCCATCGGCCGCCGGTCGGGTAAGGGACCGTCGTCGGTCCGTGAGGCCTCGCACCGTCCCTCACCCGGGCGGCCGACGTGGACTCGCCCGGACCATGACCTGCCCCAACGCACCGGCCGGTGCGCAGGCCGAGCCAAGGGGTCCCCCGTGCGCGCGGTCTGCTGACAGTTTCCCGACATTTTGGGCACCCGCTGTCCGTACGTGTGCATTTTGAGTCGCGCCGTCCACGGACGCATCACTTGCCCGGATTCGTACCAGGGTCCCAGGACGCCGATCGCTCGGGCGGGCCGACCGTCGGTCGCGGTCCGTCGTCGCCTGTCGGTCGTCGGTCGTCGGTCGCTTCGTCGCACTGGCCGCGCCGCCGCCGCCGCCGACCACGGAGTGTGCAGACTCCCGACGGCGGACCGTCACTCGTCAGCATATAGCGCAGCACCCCGGTAAGGTCACCCGGGCCCCAACATGACCCCCGTCGAGGCTCAGGGCTTTTGCGTGCTGCTGTTGATGATCATCTATTATTACGTTTCGCTGTGGTCGTTCTTCTCCCGTTACGACGGCACGGTGATCGACCGCCGAGGCTTTTACATATTCTTTTGGTTGTTTTAAACGCCACCGACACGCCGCCGACGCCGCCGACACGCCAGCTCACTGCAGCCAGTGCACCGCCGCGGTCGTGCCCACAACGTTATGTCAATGTATTATTATTTGTACAATATTTTCCTCTATTGCTACATCGGTACGTACCTCATCTATAATACTCTCGTGTTTATAGTGCCTAATATTATGCAATGCCGTAGCTAAGGGGCCACCCTGAAAATGTCAAACTATATCCCAACTCAAGTAATAAAATATTGTAGCCCCCCCCCCCCTAAAACAAATTCTGGCTACGGTACTGATATTATGATTGTTACGAAACCAGAAAAATTGCTACATGACGTAATATTATTACTATATTGTTCCTATTCAATATTGTAGTTGTATGTATATATACAAGTAATATATACAGTATGTAGGTACCCATCTGTTAAGGCGCTATAATATACACACAAAGTCTGCAAAGGCGTAAATTAGGGTGGTGATGGGGGGGGGGGCAGTTCCCCAAAATTATATACTTTTATGGTGTGTGCAAAAGTCTTGTTTTTTCCCTCCCTCTTATGTTAAGTTCTAATTAATCGTATATTACGGCTATAGTCCATTTGGCTCGAATTCGTCAATTCTTAAACGGCTTCCGTTTTCGAGAAAACAATTTCCTCCCCGCTTCATACAGATTTAAGACTATCTCAAAAAAGGTATGATTAAAAATGTGTTAATATTTTTTTTTAAATCTTTTAATTTTATGTGCAAAGTAAATTGGAAAAATTGGCGCTATGTATAAAATCATAAGTATTAGGTATATACCTACATCATGAACTAAAAATATATTGGTGGTTTTTTAAATTGTATATGCAAAGTAAGCTATAAAGAACTTATGTGGTCGAATCTAAGCCGTTAGGCAACCTGCAACAAACAATGGATGGGAGCCGTTTAGGTTGCACCGTAAATGTAATACATTTGTTTTTATTTTAAAAGCGTAATATTAACTATGAATATCATTTTTTTGTATGCATTTATTTACCCACTTGATTACTAATAACTAATAAGTAATTAGTCATTAAAATATTTATTTTTATAGCCGTAGATACAATGGTTTAAATGTGCTGTAAATGTTGCAATAGACACTATAACTATTACGTGGGTATATTAAATATATTTTAGAATATTGTTTTACACAATAAAACATGGATATAATATTTATACTAATGCAATAACATATTTTCATCAACTCGACAATTTAAAAAAATTTCAAGGACTGCTCTACATCTAGCCATATAGGTATGAAGTGTCTACGTTTGTATAGATTTATTATTGGTATAAATAATATAAATTATTCGAAGTGTGGAAAGGCGCTATCACCTCTTCCTCCACTATAATTTTAGACACTTTGAGTACAAAATATTTATGATATTTTACCCCCTACCCCTCCTCCGCCATAAAAAAATATACTCCAAGTTGGGCAACTGACGTAGGTGAATATTATTCTTATGTATGCTTATAACATACACCATATTTTATAGCCTGTCGCAATAAATCGATTGAGTGCGCAATGTTCGGATGACGCCGACGCACATATTGTACGCGCCGATAAATTTCCGTCGTCAATCTTCCGACTGCAACATATAATAATATACTATATAGCTTACTGCAATACGGCTGCTACAAAATGCCTTGTGTCGGACACCGG